AGTCCGCTGAGAGCCTGCAGGATTGCTTTCCTTTCCGCTTCCTTTCTCTGCCTCTCCGGTGGGGGCTGGGATGCAGCTGGTGGAGTTGGGGGGGTCTCCCCTAGACTGCTTCCCTGCACAGCCCCCTTAAAGTGTCACTCACAGCCCTGCATACCTTCATCCTTCATGCCTCCTCTGGGAACACAGGCTTCCAGAAACCTGAGATGACCAACCAGCCGGTGCAGGCCAGAGGGAGAAAGGCCCAGACAGTGAGGGGGAGAGTGAGGGGCTTGGCTTCTGCCTTTGCTGAAAACAGAAACTGCAGGCCTCCCGGCTCCGCTCTCAGCTTCTGGGACTTCTAGACCAGGGAGCAAAAAGCACTGGCTCTTGCCAGTCCCACTTAGGGAGACGGAAAAGGAGAGAGAGACGGCATTGAAGTGTGTAAAGATGGAAGAACTTTTGTCACATACACCACGTACAAAGATTTTCATACTGGGGACCCTTTACTGTCCCTTTAGGCTTCCAGTAGGGCAGACTACTAGCAGGACCAACAACAAACAGAGAGGCGAACTAGGATTAAGAAATGGGTCTCAACAACTGCCTTGCAACTCCCAAATATTTAATAACCAGCTCTAATTTAATATTCAGCTCCTGGTTGGGCTTGCCGGCTCATACCTATAATACCAGCACTTTGGGAGGCTGAGGCGGGAGGATCACGAGGTCAGGAGGTCGAGACCATGCTGGCTAACATGGTGAAACCCTGTCTTTACTAAAAATACAAAAAATTAGCCAGGCGTGGTGGCGGGCGCCTGTAGTCCCAGCTACTCAGGAGGCTGAGGCAGGAGAATCTCTTGAACTCAGGAGGCAGAGGTTGCAGTGAGCCGAGAACGCACCACTACACTCCAGCCTGGGTGATAGAGTGAGACTCTGTCTCAAAATAAATAAATAAATAAAATCAGTTCCTGCCAGCCAATGTACACCAGCTCTAGCATGCCACTGGTCCTATCTCTCCCTGTCTCAGGCCTCGATCACCTGAGGTTAGGAGTTCGAGGTCATCCTGGCCAACATGGTGAAACCCTGTCTCTACTTAAAATACAAAATTAGCTGGGCGTGGTGGCAGGTGCCTGCAATCCCAGGTACTCAGGGGGCCGAGGCGGGAGAATTGCTTGAACCCAGAGGCGGAGGTTGCAATGAGCCAAGATTGTTCCGCTGCACTTCAGCCTGGGCAACAGAGCAAGACTCCATCTCAGGGGAAAAAAAAAAAAAAAAGATTCCTGGCCACACAGCCAGGAAGTAGAGGGACTGAGGTTCAAACCCAGGTTGGTTTCACAGCATCACACTGCCTCCAAATACATATGCCTGGGTATAGCTGGAAGCATCTTCCTCCCCCACACCCCTCCCTGGTTAACTAATGAAATTCTCCCCTTGGGGATTTTATTCATTCCATTGATGTAAGCCCATCCTCACCTCACTACACTCTTGGAATCTTAAAATTATGGCTCATTAGGCCCAAAAGGATCTTTAGAAATTAATTTGTCCAATTCTTTTCCCTATAGATGGGGAAACAGGTTGAGAAAGAAGACAGGACTTGCTTGTATCAGCACTAGATATCCTGAGACTCAGAGTGCATCAGTGCAAAGGGTCTTATCAGACAGACCTTGCGTGAGTCCTGCCTCTGACATCCACTTTCTGTGCCAAATTGGCTAGTAGACGTTACTTTGCGAATGTTGTTCTTTGGGTTTCTTTGAGACAAGGCCTGTGTCACCCAGGCTGGAGTGCAGTGGCATGATCACAGCTCACTGCAGCCTCTATCTCCTGGGCTCAAGCAATCCTCCCACCTCAGCCTCCCGAGTAGCAAGAACTATAGGTGTGCACTCCCGCGCCTGGCTGATTTTTATGTTTTTTGTAGAGATGGGACTTCATTATGTTGCCCGGGCTGGTCTCAAACTACTGGGCTCAAGTGATCCTCCCACCTTGGCCTCCTCTAAAAGCACTGGGATTACAGGTGTGAGCCACCATACCCAGTCAAAGTCACTTTTTAATTTTTATTATTTATTTATTTCTTTTTGATGGAGTCTCTCTGTTGCCCAGACTGGAGTGCAGTGGCGCAACCTCGGCTCATGATAACCTCCGCCTCCCAGGCTCAAGCAGTTCTCCTGCCTCGGCCTCCTGAGTAGCTGGGATGACAGCCACCCGCCACCACACCCAGCTAATTTTTGTATTTTTAGTAGAGACGGGGTTTTGTCATGTTGGCCAGGCTGGTCTCAAACTCCTGGCCTCAGGTGATATGCCCGCCTCGGCCTCCCAGAGTGCTGGGATTACAGGCATGAGTTACCAAGCCTAGCCTATGCAACTTTTTTGAGCCTCCGTTTCCTTATCTATTAAGTGGAGATCATGATACCTTCACTGACAGGTTGTTAAAAGATTCAAGGAGGTCTCAGGTTGGGATGCGGTGGCCTCATTCCTGGCACACAGTGGGTGCTCAGTGCATGCAGCCTGCCTTCTCCACAGCAAAGGAAAATAGAATCTTAAGGCTCTGAGACCAGGGTCACCCCTTTATAGGGCCTGCGAGGGGGATGGATGGAACCAGTGGGATGCTAGATTTGGTGTGCATTGGCTGCCAGGAGCCGATTACTAAATAAGAGCTGCTTATTAAATATTTGGGAGCTGCAAGGCAGCTGTTGGGAGCTTTATTTCAGCCATGGTAGGAGTATTTTACACCACAGAAATCAGTAAACTCTACGAATGAAGGATTTTATTTTTTATGTATTTTATTTATTTATTTATTTATATTTAAGACAGAGCCTCTGCCACCTAGGCTGGAGTGCAGTGGTACAGTATTGGCTCACTGCAACCTCCAGCTCCCAGATTAAAGCAATTCCCTTGTCTCAGCCTCCCAAGTAGCTGGGACTACAGGCGTGCACCACCACACCTGGCTAATTTTTGTGTTTTTTTCTTTTTTCAGTAGAGACGAGGTTTCACCGTGTTGGCCAGGCTGGTCTTGAACTCCTGACCTCAAGTGATAGTTTTTGTTTTTGTTTTTTAATAAAGGCCTATATGGCTGAGCACGGTGGCTCACACCCGTAATCCCAGCACTCTGGGATTACAGCGGGTGGATCATTTAAGGCCAGCAGTTTGAGACCAGCCTGGCTAACATGGCGAAACCTTGTCTCTACTAAAAATACAAAAATCAGCTGAGTGTGGTGGTGCACACCTATAATTGCAGCTACTAGGGAGGCTGAAACAAGAGAATCACTTGAGCCCGGGAGGTGGAGGTTTCAGTGAGCCGAAATGGCATCACTGCACTCCACCCTGGGTGATGAAGTGAGATTCTAAATAAATAAATAAATAAATAAAAATGAAGGACTATAGTATGCGATTTTTCGGTGGTAGGAAATAACTGACAAGGTCATTATGATCATCAACCAAACAAAAAAACCTCACCATGTATAAATTTGAAAAAGAGAGGAGACTTTGTTTCTTATAAAGAGTCTTGAACTCCTGGCTGCAAGCCGTCCTCCTACCTCGGCCTCCCAGAGCACTGCACTGGGGGGGTTCATTTTTTTACATTATACAAAATGGGGGCGTCTTATCTGCGGGGCCCTTTGCCACATACTGATGTCTGAGCATCCCGCCAAGAACTTCAGGAGAGTTTAAGCAGTTGAGTCACATTTTCAGGAGCAGCAAACCCTGCTGGCTGCAAAAGGAGTTGGGACCCTCTCCACCTCCTCCCCAGCCCTGCCATCACTCCCTGTGGGACCCCGGGCCCGTTCCTGCCTAGCACAATGGGGGGATGGATTTCCAAGAGTCCTGTCAACCTTGATCTTCTAAGATTTCCTATTACCCGATGATCCCGGGGAGTTCTGGTAAGGATTGGGATGCAGGAAACATCACACCATCATATGGCTCACTGGTCACACCATGAATCCTGGGTCTTCCCTGTGCCAGGCTCTGGGCAGGTGCTGGAAGCCAAAGTGTATCCATCAGCACTCCAGCTTCATGGGAGCAGAGAGACGAAGCCAGCGACAGACTGGCCTGTTCAGCTCGGTATCAGGAGAGAACAGGTGCCAGAAAGCGAGCAGGGATACAGTCCCAGTGTACTGTGAGCTTATGAAACGCCTTCAAAGGCCAAAATCACATCCCCCCAATACCACACTGCCCTGTCTGCCTCTCAGCAGCCAGAAACTCCTGCTCTCTTCCTGAGGAGCACAATGATTTTGAGGGTTTCTATGGGGGGTTGACATTGCACCAATCCTTTGTGATTTTAGCATTCATGGTTTCTGCCCCTGTCTCCTCATAGGTACAACGGGCAACGAGGCAACGATCGGTACCTCAAAGTGTAGCTGGGCGTATCAAGTCAGGGAACAGACAGGAAATGCAGTTCATGGTGCTCCCTGCAGGCAGGAGGATTTGAGTCTGCTAGTCAAAACAGCATGTGTCAGGCCGGGCGCAGTGGCTCACGCCTGTAATCCCAGCACTTTGGGAGGCTGAGGCGGGTGGATCACCTGAGGTCAGGAGTTTGAGACCAGCCTGACCAACATGAAGAACCCCATCTGTACTGAAAATACAAAATTAGCTGGGCATGGTGGTGCATGCCTGTAATCCCAGCTACTTGGGAGGCTGAGGCAGGAGAATTGCTTGAACCAGGGAGGTAGAGATTTCGGTGAGCCACGATCATGCCGTTGCACTCCAGCCTGGGCAACAAGAGTGAAACTCGGAAGGAAGGAAGGAGGGAAGGAGGGAAGGAGGGAAGGAGGGAGGGAGGGAGGGAAGGAAGGAAGGAGGAAAGGGAGGGAGGGAGGAAAGGCAGGTGTTAGAGCAGGTGGTGGAGGGAAGTTCAGGGAGGTGCAGGGAGGTGGGAAATCACGGAGAGCTAGAGCCTTTCTGCCTCTTGATGGCTGCATGCCTTTGAGCAAGTCCCATCTGTAAAGTGAGGGTGGGAACGATAATCCCTGAATACTTCTGTTTTTTCCACATTCCAGAAACCACCTGGATGTGGGGTCTCCCAGCTGTCCTGGGAGGACTGAGTTGGCAGGAGTCACCGCCAAAGGGCCAAAGGCGGGAGGAGATAACCAGTTAGGAGGCCCTGTCACAAGATCAGCAATGCAAGAAAGACAAAGCGCTTCCCTGAGGGAAGAGCTGATAACACCCTGCGCTTAAAGTATTCCTCCAAGCCCCGCCTCATTCTCCCCAGATTCTCTAGCCTTGGAGCACAACCTTTAATTCATCACTGAGCATTTTCAGAAGTACAATCTCAGGTGACTACCCCAATCCTGCAAGAGAAGCTGACTGCCCCCCTTTGACAGATGAGGAAACTGAGGCCCAGACTGGGGAAGTAGATAGCAGGAATTGAAATGCAAAGGAGAGGCAGACTGAGTTTTCAAGTCTCATAAGAACCTATGTCTGGGCTCTTAAACCCACTCTACAGATGCCTGGAGCAGAGAGTTTTAAAAATTAGCTGTGCCCGGTGCAGTGGCTCACGCCTGTGGTCCCAGCACTTTGGGAGGCCGAGGCAGGCGGATCACCTGAGGTCAGGAGTTCGAGACCAGCCTGATCAGCATGGTCTATGCGGATTACACAGAGCAGATGCTTGAGCTATGTGGATTTTGTTTTTTGTTGCCCACGCTGGAGTGCAGTGGTGCAGTCTCGGCTCCCTGCAACCTCTGCCTCCCAGGTTCAAGCGATTCTTCTGCCTCAGCCTCCCGAGTAGCTGGGATTACAGGCGCCTGCCACCACACCCAGCTAATTTTTGTGTTTTTGGTAGAGACATCGTTTCACCATGTTGGCCAGGCTGGTCTCAAACTCCTGGCCTCAGGTGATCCACTCACCTTGGCCTCCCAAAGTGCTGGGATTACAGCGTGGGCCTCGGCGCCCAGCTTCTATGGGAATTAAATGCAAATCTTTTGGAATCCCACGCAGTCATATAAAAAGAAGCAGTTTTTCTGGAGTTAATATGAAATGGTTTCCAAGAAGTGAAGAAAACATAAGATATACAATAGTGTAGACCGTATGCTATTATATGAGCAAAAAATAAGAAATATATACACATACACATACACGTGACCATACACACATGCATACATATATACACACCCACACAGAGCACACTGCCTGGTAACAGCTATGTTTGGCAACAATGGTTCCCTCCAGGGATAAGAACCAGGTGGCTCGGAGGCAGGGCTAGAAAGCACACTTTTCACTTTGTCCCCTTCCGTGCCTTTTGAATTTTGAACTGTAGGCAAGTATTATCTATTCAAGAAACAAATTAAACATTTTTAAAGTTAAATAACCAAAAACGAGCCTGCTACTTTATAAAGGGAGCCATATGACAGTGTGATGTTTCCTGCATCCCAATCCTGACCAAAACTCCCCAGGGTCATCGGGTAACAGGAAATCTTAGAAGGTCAAGGTTGACAGGACTCTTGGAGACACATTCCCCCATTGTGGTAGGCAGGAACGGGCCCGGGGCCCCACAGGGAATGATGGCAGGGCTCGGGGGGAGGTGGAGAGGGTCCCAACTCCTTTTGCAGCCAGGAGGATTTGCTGCTCCTGAAAATGTGACTCAACTGTTTAAACCCTCCTGAAAGTTCTTAGCGGGATGCTCAGACATCAGTATGTGGCAAAGAGATGCCCCCATTTTGTATAATATACATAATGAACCCCCCAAAGCAGTGGCCTTTGCAGACAACCAAAATGACCTTCAAGTTGATCATCCAAAGCAAGACACTTGCAGAGGGAAAGGGGCTGCTGTTAATAATCACACCTGGATGACGAGAACAATGAATCCTTCTGGGAAATCTGGAACTTTCTGCCCACAAAATATCCCATCACCAGGAAGCTGGCAAGAAGGTGTTTTGTAACAAAGGGACTTCAAAGAACATGGCCTGATTCTAAGTTCTTCTTGCCTCTCCTCTCACCCCACTACCCCCTTCCCCGATACTGACAACAATATAGGACCCAAGTTAACCTGGATTCAAATCCTGGCTGTTTCCCAACCCCTGATTTCTTCATCTATAAAATATAACTCATGACCCCTATCTCAAGACGTGCTGTGAGAATTAAATATCTCACACAGAGCTAGGTGCAGAGAAGGTGCCCAGCAAACAGTAGTTTCTCTTCCCTTCATGCAGAGAAATAACGAAACAACACGCCCTGAATCCTGAAACTCTTGGGGGTGAATGGAGAGAGACTTTCTCCCAGACCAGATGAACAATGCCTCCGTGGGCGGAAGTGTGGGGTGCCGTGTACAGGGAGATGCTCATTCTCATTCTGGGTGTCACTTTGCAAAGCACCGCTTCACGGTGACTCATTTTGGGGCTCCCTAAAAACTCCTTTGAGTTAAAAACAGAAGTTGAGTGGGTTTCAGGTTGCATTGTGCCTTATCGGTCTACTGTGCCCTCCTCAGGGTAGCGGGTACCGCAGGGAACTCCAGGATCCCTGAACAGGCTGAACCTGATGCTTCCCCCATCACGTAACCAGGAGACACAGGGCCCAAAGGGAAGGAAATGGCGTGAGAGATGGAGGAGAAGGAGGAAGGGCAGGAAAATGGAGTGCCCAGGACTTCTCCCTCCACTCCCGCCCCTCCCATCCCTGAATTATAGTCCAAGGGGTGTGGGATCCCTGATGCAAAAGCACTCCTGGGTCCTCCTACCCACTCCTGCTTTATTTCTGCACCAAACTTTTAATTTTTTTTTTTTTTTTTGAGACAGTCCCATTCCATCGCCCAGGCTGGAGTGCAATGGCTCGATCTCAGCTCACTGCACCTTTGGCCTCCCAGGTTCAACTGATTCTCCAGCCTCAGCCTCCCAAGTAGCTGGGATTACAGGCACGTGCCATCATGCTCAGCTAATTTTTGTATTTTTGGTAGAGACAGGGTTTCGCCATATTGGCCGGGCTGATCTCGAACTCCTGACCTCAGGTGATCCGCCCCGCTAGGCTTCCCAAAGCGCTGGGATTACAGGGTGAGCCACCGAGCCCCGCCTCCACCAAACTTCCTATCTTTGAAGTGTCAGACATTCACAGTGTCTTCCTCCTATCCCTCTCTCCCACCTTGGCTGAAGCCCCAAGAAAGTTGGCTATATTTTGTTCACTCCTGTATCCCAAGGCTTCTTTATTCCTCTAACACTTAGCCTGCCTGCAGCCAGACCTACCTCTGTTGATTACCACTGGCTGTGTGACCTGGGACAAGTTGCTTAACCTCTCTGAGCTTCGGTTTCCTAACTGGAAAATGAAGACATCACAAGTGTCTGTCACAGGGGTTCTATGAAGCTGGGGGAAGGGCTTTGCGAACAGTAAAGTCTTACACAGATATTGTGTGTGGTGGTGGGGGGCACTCTTTCTCCTCCCAGTGGCCTGGTGCTGCTCCTAAAGTTTCCTTTGAAAGGGAGTTTCTGGTTCTTGCTCTGTAGCTTAACTGAATAGCTGCCAGAGCGTGGGACCTCCCATCACACAGTGGGTCCCTGCTGACTTTTCCCACATCCTCATTCAGGTCTCCACTCAGATGTCGCTTCATCAGAAAGGCCTTCTCCTAGCACCCCCTATGAAAAAGCACCCCTCGATCCTCCTACCCTTCCCTGTGATATTTCTCCACTAAACTTTTTTTTTTTTCTTTCTCTTGTTGCCCAGGCTGGAGTGCAGTGGTGCAATCTCGGCTCACCGCAATCTCCGCCTCCCAGGTTCAACGGATTCTCCAGCCTCAGCCTCCCGGTAGCTGGGATTACAGCCATGTGCCACCATGCCCGGGTAATTTTATATTTTTAGTAGAGACGGGGTTTCTACATGTCGATCAGGCTGATCTTGAACTCCCGACCTCAGGTGATCCGCCCACCTCGGCCTCCCAAAGCGCTGGGATTACAGAGGTGAGCCACCGTGCCCAGCCCTCCACCAAACTTCTTATTCTTGAAATGCCAGACATTCACAGTGTCTTCCTCCCACCCATCCCTCCCCCTTGATTAAAGCCCTAAGAAAGTCAGGGCTATATTTTCTTTGCTCCTGTATCCCAGTGCCTAGAAAAGGACCTGGTCCATGGAGGGTGCCCATAGATGTGTCGGGTGAACTAACGAATGAACTAAGGTTTGCTGCACGCATATGGCCAGTAACGATAATCCTCTAGTAACACTGAAATACACTGTCTCAGAACTTCTACTTCTTCCTATAATTTGTTGCAGTGTTTATTTCTCCTATTTAACTTTTTAATCTGTCTGACATTTATTGTGGTGCATATCATGTGCAGCAAGGCTGCAAACAGATCTCTAGCTAAACGGCTATACAATTTGCAGGACGACCCATATCCTCCTGGTTGGTTTGTGATGTCTGCATTTTCATCTGCAAGAGCTGGGACCAGGCCGGCTCCTGTGGGCCAGCTGCTGCCTTAGCCGCCCTCTTGTTCCAGCAGCCCAGGGCCTAGTGATTGGACACACGGGCAGTGGAATTAGACAATCTGGCATCCACCTTCCAGCACAACCGCTTACCATCTGGGAGACTTTAAACAAAAGAACTTGCTTTTTATTGTTGTTGGCTAGGCTGCAGTATGGTGGTGCTATCATAGCTCATTGTGGCCGCAAACTCCTGTGCTCAAAAGATCCTCCTGCCTCAGCCTCCTGGGTGGCTGGGACTGCAGGCAGGCACCAACACACCCAGCTAATTCTTAAATTATTTTGTGGACATGGGATCTTGCTATATTGTCCAGGCTGGTCTCAAACTCCTGGCCTCAAGGCATCCTCCCACCTCAGCCTCCCAAAGCACTGGGATTATAGGTGTGAGCCACCACACCAGCCTGAAATTTCATTTTTTTTTTAAATTTGTGGAGACGGAGTCTCGCTCTGTCACCCAGGCTAGAGTACAGTAGCACGATCTCAGCTCACTACAACTTTCGCCACCCAGGTTCAAGCAATTCTCCTGTCTCAGCCTCCCAAGTAGCTGGGATTACAGGTGACCGGCACCTTGCCCAGCTAGTTTTTGCATTTTTTCAGTAGAGACGGGGTTTCACCATGTTGGCCAGCCTGGTCTCGAACTCCTGACTTCTGGTGATGCACCTGCCTCGCCCTCCCAAAGTGCTAGGATTACAGGTATGAGGCACCGCACCCGGCTTGAAATTTCATTTCTAGGCCTCATTAAGCCCGTCTGTAAAATGGGCACAAGGGTAAGGTTGGCACACACGGTGGACGCTCAGTTGGTGTCATTATTATAGAAAATGGCCAGTCCAAGAACCTCCACTCATTTAGCAAACAGAAGCCCGACAGGCAGTCACTGTGCCCAGTACAGCACTGTGCTCAAGCTGGGTGTCCAGCAGGCAGTCAGTGTCCCTGGCTCCAGCCCTCCCGGGTTGCAGTACAGTTTTGAATGTGGAGGGGAGGCAGCAGGGGTAGAAACCAGGAGCGGCCACTCTTGGTGCAGGGAGAAGGTGAAGTGAGAACTGAGCTGCTGCCTTTTGGTTCCATGGAGACTCTGACTTCTAA